TCTGTTTTTTACAATTATGTTTTTTTTACGAAAGTGATAACAAATTGCTAAAAACCAATGTAACGCAAGAAATACTAAATTTATACCATTGGCGTACTTAACTCGTATGACTGACATTTTTACCGTTACTAATAATTGTTGGTACATAAGTTTCAACTTTAAGATCAAAATTCTTAATAAGTATTGGTCGGAATTATAAAATTTAAACTAGAATTGTAAGAGCTTTCAAAAGAAATATTACTCAACCCCCAATACCATTTAAATATTTTGGTGTGATGCTTACCCTTGATTAGGGGTGAAAATGGCAGAGTCAAAAATACTAGCAAAGAATGTCCCTCTTTAATCTAAAATCGACAGGTCCGAACGTTTTTCTACAATCTTGACGCAGTTCCTGAAAATGGCTCTGCTTCGTTTTCATTTGGCCACCCTGTATAATATGTTCTGAATGTAATATCTTCGATAACATGAATTGTTAAGTGTTAATAGTTCACCTTAAAACTAATACACATGCCGAAACCATGGAATATGCTAGTAATGTTCCAATAGACATCATTTCTGTCAGCTTCGTTAGCTCAAAAATACAGGCTAGCGTACCTAAAAATAAATTTTTTAATGTATATAAACAATTATAAAAAAAATCAAAAGAGAAAAGGCTACCTGCGAATGCTCCTGCAATTAAAGTACCCATGAAAGGAGTGTGAAATGTGGGGTGCACCCTTCCTAAGGATTTAAACAGTAAACCGTCCTTGGCCATTGCATAAATGATCCTCGGTAAAGGAAACATGGCCCCTAATAAACTAAAGAAGAGTAAATAAGAGAATAATTTTAAATACAAAGTTAATAATTTTACCTGGAAAAAAGTCCACAGATAGCTCCAATGCTGACGATATATTTAATAACAGTCCATCCCAGCTGACTGTAAATGTAAGCTAGCGGTGCATTTTCATCCTAAAATGTATATTGGAAGTAAAATATCCATGCTTTATAGTGAAAACTAATTACCTGTTTGTAATATGGCAGTATCATAGTTATAACTGTGGATATGCCAAAGTATGCCAGAAATACTATTAAAAGAGACATTACAACACTAATCGGTATAGATTTTTGCGGAGTTTTAGCTTCCTCTCCTGTGGAGAATAAAAACTGCTATAAGTACACCAATTTTGGAAATACACCATGTGTATTATCTATTACCTGCTGTGGCAATACAATCGAACCCAATAAATCCGTAGAAGCACCTAGCAGCTCCTTTTATAATACCCTTCACTCCATAAGGAGCGAAACCTCCCTCTCCATATCCGCCCGCCTCTTCTTTTGTTCTGTTCCAATTTGAAGAGTTAACTGAAGAAACATATTAAGTATACTATTTAACGGAAATCAATTGACTAGGTGTAAATCTACCTCTCCATAATCCTGATATGATGACTAGAATAACCACACATATATTTGTTAGGGTGAAAACATTGTTTACTAAGGAAGATTCCTTGGCTCCGAAGGCTAGTGCAACTAAAATATGTAATTTTGTTTTATTGTACATACAGCGCGTTTGTAAATAAGTGCGAAATATTTTAGGGGGTGGTTGCCGCAGTTGTTTTGTGAAAAAAAGTTCATATAAACGTAGGTCAAAATATGCTTTGTCTCCGAGATACAGTGTTTAAATTTTAATTTTTTATTTATTTTTAATTATTTCAAAGAGTTTTAAATATATTGACTCGAAATTTGATAGTTGTATTTTATTTATAAATATTGACTGCAACCTGCTAGATAATGTATCAAGAGAAATTAAAAATACACAACTTGCAATAAAATGTTTTATTTTTTTCCTCAAAAGTGGTGCATTCTACGAAAAAAATTGACCAGAGACCAATTTCATTTAGTGGTGGATTTCTAAAAAAATATAAAAAACGGGAAAAAGTCAGTGGAGTACCATTTTTTTTTAAAAAGGTGTCATTCTCGCACGAACGCCACTGGTGCAAGTAGAAATATTCGGATCACCCTAAAAAATGCACATTTATCCCTTCAAAGCGTTTTTCAAATTTCCAGTCAATATCTTTAAAACTGAAATAATTAATAAAAATAAATAAAAAATTAAAATTTGAGCACTCTGTTTCTTGGAAACGAAGCATATTTCAACCTACATTTATATGAACTTTTTTTCCCAAAATAACTTCGGCAACCACTCCCTAAAATATTTCGCATTTATCAAGAAATACCCTGTCTATACAATTTTTTTATTTTAAATTTCAAAATTTAGGAAGTAGCTCCAACTAGGAGACATATTCTCCACTTAACTATAGAAGTACTACCCCTACTACCTTTTTTAATTTAAGTAAATTATTGTATAACATATGATTAGTACTTATTAGAATTGACAATTTTTTTTGCCTAATTATTTTTATGGAAAGTACAATCATTGTAAGTAGGTTTATTTATAATGAATAGTAGAAAGGTAACTTCAAAAGCGACATCACCGGCAATTAATTGAAGCAGCAACTTCATCATATTGCGCATAGATGTCGCTGCATGTGATTGAGAACAAAAATATTTTAGATGGTTAATTTAGAATTTGTATAAGTTTCATTTGATGATTTTTTTAAAACTACCTATAACTGAAATGTTATTATAGTTACCGGAAAATAGCAGTGACAGCAAAAAGGAAAATATGTCCGCATAGGACGCAATTTGGTTGCCCGTAATCGGCATTGTTTCTTCGAAAAAGTTTTTCATTGTGTTATTGGCTAGTTCGTCTATGTAGAGAAATATGGCCTTCGTTCCTGTTGCTGACCCTAAAAATTAAATAAACTTGTGTTATGTTGCATGAACTCTGTATCTTCCATTTAAAAATTCACATGTTAAAATGTCAATTTAGGTATTCAGTTGTGGCTCTGCTATTGGTAAATATTTCATTGTGTTCCTATAATTAAAAAAATATCCTGCCCAAAAGGTACTAGGATCTTTTTAAGGTGCATCCTCTTAATTCTACATATGTATAATTTATTTTTTTACCTATGAGATATTCCAATATTAAGTTCCATCCTATAATAAAGGCAAAAAACTCGCCAATGCAAACGTAACTATAAACATAGGCAGATCCAGCTTTTGGCACTCTAGCTCCAAACTCGGCGTAACACAGCCCTAAAAAATTCCACTGGTTATCTATTTTATCAAGGTGGTAATCATAATTGTTCATGCTCACCTGCTAAAATAGACGCGATGGCGGCAATAAAAAAGGATATAATCACAGCTGGTCCCGCAGTATTTTTAGCAACATCTCCAGCTAAGACATACACACCAACACCTAAGGTACTGCCCACACCCAGAGCAGTTAAATCCAAAGTCGTTAACACTTTGGCTAGCATGGTATCCTCATTTGCTTTCACCACCTTTTTCCTAGTTAGGGCCGCCTGCGTCTCCGACCACGAAGGGATTCTTAACTGCATATTTTTTGGTTCTCCTACAAATTTTTTATTAGACAGACACACACAATTTGCACGCGTAAACTCGTGAACAAAGTTATCGGGTACGGAAACTTTAAGATTTAGCAAATAGTTTTTAAAATTTCATAAAATCTTTCAACTCAAACAAATGATAAATAGGTTGTTGGACATGATATCAAACGAGACTGTGGTTTTTTGCTTTTCCTGGCATAATCACGAGTGTAATCTTTATTTGGTGTTCATTAAAGTTGGAAAAAACAAAATTAAAAAAAGATTTGACAAGATCATTGTCTCAAATAATATTTGACAGAAATATTTCAAAACTAACATCAATTGTCATATTTAAATTAATATTCAAAATCCACTTTAGTAACTTAACGACAAATAAAACTTAGATCGGGACAAAGTTAAACAAAAAATAACATTTGATTGATGCAATGAGTGAAATTGTAAAAAATACGTACTCTTTTATGTCTCACTTGAAATGTATATGCAGTCTAGGTAAATGGCTATTATAATGATCAATGTAGGGCTATTACTTTATATAACAGGTATAGAAAATTCCCCTGCTGCGGTCAGAAAACACCTCGGAAAACATGTACACGTTAACAATGATAATCGAGATGATAATGTTGACGTTAGGTACGGACTGTTCGTTGCAAGGTATTATTAAACCATTATAAGTGTAATGGGGTTTATTATTTTGTTGTTAAAACCAGCGCCATGTGATCCCAGTTAATTACAAGGCATCTATTACATCTATTAAATTCGTGAACATTACACGAAAGAGCACATTTTGTGCTAAACCAGCTTGCCAAAAAATCGAGCTTAAAATTGTTGAAATTTTGTGGCGTTGACTTCCTTTTATCTGTGCCAATTGATGCTCCATTTAACCATTTTTTAACAAACAGAAGTTTAGGCAGTTATTTTGAAATTATTTGTGCTTACGTTTTTATGCACGCTGTAATAAAAGTCGGAAATATTGAATGATGAACAAAAACGAACACCTTTTGCGAAACTACAAAATTTTTGTTCTTCGAAAAGATCTTTTATGACATTTCTACTAAATTTTACGTTCTATTGCCTTTATAATGACTTAATTTTCGATAAATTTTTTCTTGTGGCGGTATTAGTTGTTACACAGGGTACGTATTTAGTGCGAGGTACTTAATTTTTTCACTTACCCAGTGTTTTTAGCATTACTTCCATCTCGCCAAGCATTAAAGAACCAAGTCTAACCACTACATTATAAGACGGCGGTATTGCTTTTCAACAAAAACGATCAAAACATTAACCGACTGTCTGGCGGATAATAACTGGTTAAATGTTTGTATCAATTGATTCTAATTGAATATTATCCATCAAAATTATTTCACAATAGTCGTAGTGGCCTAGTGGCGCACTAATTACTTTATTATTATTATTATTTATTAATAACTACGTGTTGAATTTAAAAGAGATATTTTTAAGCCAAAAGACATTACATTTTCATGGAAGTCGGATGTACAGTTGTGTAGGTACCGCAAATTGATAATTTTCGAAATATTGAGTGTCCGTGACTGACAAATTAAAATCCCCAATTTAATTTATCAAATTAAAAGTAAAAATCCACAGAATTCTGATGTAAATACTTGTACCAGTGGCGGAGATCGTTCTCACTGAAACCCCAGAAGTTCGACTCCACTGGTTATTTTGAAAACTCTATTGCAATTGTAACTTTTTATGGTGTTTTCAAGAAAAAAGATTTCGTTCATTTTATTCGAAAAACGAATTGTTTTCGATTTTTACTTATTTTTGACATTCGTTACCAGACACTTTACAAAATGAAGATAACTCATAGGATTTACTAGCTAGATACTCCAGTCGAATTAGATCATAAAACCTGAAAACTTGAAAAAATTATTAGATTTTTGACTTGAACGTTTCAAATTCGCTTCAAAAATCTCGCGCGCGCCGAGGGCAACGTTCACGCGAGTGCGCGGGCCCGGCGCTCCTCCCGTGTGGAGACCGTTCATTAACCTTAACTTACTTTTACTCCTGCTAACGCGTTTATTAACATGAACTATCAATGTAAAACTTTCTGAAATTAAAAAATTTACCCTTTCGTTAATTGTCTCTAACATCCCAGTCCGATACGTCCAATAGTTAATTAACAATTAACATTATAAAAAAGAAAGCTATCTTGGGAACAAAGAAGCGTACGTGTTTTCTTTTTTTTTAATTATCGTAAAAATAATCTCTATTTAATGTAAAAAGAGTGAATCTCCGAGCGGCATTTGCCTGACCGTGAGACATTTTGTTTATAAAGCTGTTTTGAAATTTTTCCTTTTCGATACGTTTCTTAGAATCAATTATAATCTATATCTACGATATTAACTTCTAAAATTAACTTAAGGAATTAAACAATTAGTGGCACAAAACAAACGAAATTATTTAACAATTAGCTGGACCAACAATTTCACGGACAGTGGAATCCGCCTTTGGCATACATGTTGGTCATTGGGTTGACCACCTTTTCCATTTTTATCAACATCCATCGCTTTTTGCTATAAAATTAAGCAATTTTCGAAAACTGATATTACAGCGTTCGAATTTTATTTTACAGGAGGTATGGAGGCAACAGAGTGTAAAGCCCGGAAAAAGTTGCGGCAATTATTTTTTAGTGAAACGGCTAGTTCTAATTGTGTTAGATTTAATGAAATGCTTGGTAACGTTAATAAAGTACAAAAAAATAATAAATCGGAAATAGTTCGTTTTTCGCATAAAATGAAAGATATTTCTTTTACTGGAGGCACCATCAGCAGTGATCGAATTTTCAAAATATCCACTGGCGTTGAATTTCTTGGGTTTTTAATCAACGTAACTCCAGATATCTCCACATTTGTATCTGAATTCATTGTTTTACTCTTAATTAAATAAATGATTGGCCCAAGTTTCCTCCTTTGCTCCTTTCGCATCAAACATCTTCAGAGATATTTTAGAAGACGATTTATTTTATTTCAACAGCCTGTACTTCGAAAACTGTAGATTTGCGGACTCAAGTTTACATAATCTTATATTTGGCTTAAAATCACTCAAAGAATCGCCCCTTAAAGTTTGTCGACGTACTTAATTATCGAATTATCGTCGCCCTGTATAGACGTTCTATACTCGTACTCTGATTTTTGCAATTTTCCTTACATTATTTACGGGAACTGGATAGTAACGATACATATGAATATTGGGTAGTAAAATGAATTCTAACAATGAAATCAGGTAACTAAGTTCAGACAAAGCAATTAAAATACTAGGTTAATGGTTTTCTACTTACAAGAATTATTTACGGAAATATAAATAATTAAATTGTTGCAGTCATTTGAACCTTGTTGATACTAAAACCCAGACAATAGAAAATTTGTTATTGAAGTGTTGTAGGTAAAGAATGCAGAGATAAAACTGATAAAATATCAAAGGTACACGAAAGTTATTGTTTAGTTTGTTTAGTCTATTAAACAATAAATTATAATAGAGCGACAATAGTTATTTGTCCAACAATTGCAGTTTCGTAGGTGTTTTACAGTTTGTCCTTTACTGACACTTTCACTTAACTTTTTTAGTCATTAGTGAAAATAAAATTGTTATAATTCAAATAAAGAAAACAGAATTAAACAATTAACTATTTATTAGTATTTATATTAAAATGAAAAGTTGCATTGAGAAACTGAATTCTACTACCAAAACTAACACAAGGGGCTCATTTTCTCATAATTCTATTAATATTTGCTGCTGTAACCGTAGAAGAAGCAGTAGAAGAGGTAGCGTCAGCAATAACCGCAAAACAAGCAACAGTAGAGGTAGCGTCAGCAATGTTCGTTGAAAATTTTCTTCCCAATCTTGAATTTCTATCGAAGAGAATCTTCAACTTATCTTCCAGGTACTTTGTCACTTTTCCAACCTCCAAAACGCTACAGAGTAGTGATGTCTGCTTAGAAAATAGCTGCTAATCTGCGAAATTAATGTCCTAGTTTCAGGAATCTGGCAACACTGGCAATACAAGTATCTTTCCGAAAATGCCTACAAGATGATTGGTACATTTTCCTTGTCAGTAGTTGAGAATCAGTCAGCTGCTGGTTGTTGTTTTCTGTGGATGGAAACTTAAGTCATTTTTGATACAGCTCTACTGGGTTAAGGCCTTTTGAGTTTTTGCAAATGGAATATTAACCAGTAGAATATTACCTTTTTCTTCTATGTGCTCAATGGACATCTTCATTAGTTGCCTACCTTTCTAGTTTTATATAAAAAATTTAAAAATTCTATGTTCTAGAAAACATTTATTCTCTTGTCGCGTAGGAAAGGTACATGTATATTATTTTGGAAGTGTGTTTTTTTTATTATTATGTAAAGCCGGCTACTCACTACGCGGGACTTGTTGAGTGACTTGACTTGGAATAGTTTGACAAGTACTTGCTCAAGTTAATGTAAACTGTACACATTACGCGTCCAATTTACTTGACTCTCAATTTTTTTAGGAAGTACTAGTTGAAAGGCGAGTAGTCTTAAAAAATGGACGAAAGTGAAACGACAGCTTTAGCTGCTGCTCTTTAATTTGCTCTTGCAAGTCATAAGGGAATCTTTTTTCTTTTTTAACTCATCGACACTAACCTCTAGTGAAAAATCACTTTGTATTGGTTTCCAAGCATTGTGCACTTCGTTTCTGTTTTTATGTAATTTATGTGCCGAGTCCCAAATGATAGATTCCCGCTGATATAAATCCAAAAACATAATTATCAACTTGTTTTCATTTACAATAATAAGAAATATGTTTAAACAAAACACGACTGAGCAACACACAAAACAATTTACTTAGAAATCCTTCAAAGTAGGTATAGATATGTCTGCGTAATGTGGGGCGTTCTAAAGCCGGCTACTCACTACGCGGTACTTGGCAAGTACTTGCCAAGTAGCACGTTGTGGGTTGGAAAACTGCCAGACGTCAAAGGAAGCGAGTAGCTTGACTCGGCGACTTGTTAGAACGCGCCACATTACGCAGACATATCTATACCCACTTTGAAGGATTTCACAAGTAAATTGTTTTGTGTGTTGCTCAGTCGAGTTTTATTTAAACATATTTCTTATTATTGTAAATGATAATAAGTCGATAATTATGTTTTTGGATTTATATCAGCGGGAACCTAAATTACATAAAAACAGAAGCGAAGTGCACGATTCTTGGAAACGAATACAAAGTGATTTTTCATCAGAGGTTAGTGTCGATGAGTTAAACAAGAAAAAAGATTACCTTATGGCCACATTTCGTAACTGCAAGAGCAAATTAAAGAGCAGCACAAAAAGTGGTGCTGTTAAAGCTGCCGTTTCATTTTCGTCCATTTTTTAATACTACTCACCTTTCAACTTGTACTTCCAAAAAAATTGAGAGTCAAGTAAATTGGGCGCGTAATGCATATAGTTTACTTTAACTTGAGCATGTACTTGTCAAACTATTCCAAGTCAAGTCACTCAGCAAGTCCCGCGTAGTGAGTAGCCGGCTTAACAAGTCGCCGAGTCAAGCTACTCGCTTCCTTTGACGTCTGGCAGTTTTCCGACACACTACGGGAAGTAGAAGTAACTCGCCAAGTCTAAACGAGTCGCCGTATACACTACGTGCTACTTGGCAAGTACTTGCCAAGTACCGCGTAGTGAGTAGTCGGCTTAAAACTAACAATCATGATTTTTCGCACTTTGCGAAAAATGGGGAAAGGGTCTTATTTCTTTACGTACCTCACACTGTAAAAAAAATTTCACTCAATTTCACTCATTTTTACTCAGTAATTTATCAATTTGCGTCCTCATAGATACTTGTATTTTCGTGACTAAATAACGTAACACAGATTGCAATTTATTAACGTATTGATAACCAGTCTTTTGTAAAAAATGCATCAAAAAAACGCCTTCCAAGTTTGTACTGCATATTCTGTATTCCAAGCTTTCCTTGTTACAAATTTATTTGGTTTTTGGCGGAAATAAATCCAAAGATGAGCTTCGGTTTCAAGTCGGATATTTCGTAACAAAGAATCCATCGCGTTCTACACGCGCTTTAAAATGAAAATCGGAAAATTTGTAATTTTCAGCAACTATCTATGATGACCGCCAAAGATTTTATTGACTTTAAAATATCACTTAAGTTTGTTTTTCGTTAAAAAACTACAGGAGCTGGACGAAACGTCTTATATTACAAGTCAAGCGCTCGGTTGCTTTTAATGACTTATTGTATTATTAATATTATGCAATTAGTGCAAAAAGGGATGTCCAAAATTTCTATCTTTCGTGGACCTTCTGAAAAGTCCACCTTTTATATTTTTTCTACTATTTCATATATCGTACTGAAAATACATGAACCAATGAGAAACATCATGCATTTAGTTTTTTGTCGCGCTTTTCTTCACTTTTGAAGTAATAATAAATTTCTGGTAACAGGTTTTTTATCATCCTTTCAATATTATTTTAGCAATGAGAACAGTTAGAGTTAATATTTACATATTTCCGTTTTTTATTAATAATACCACAACTGCTGACTAATTTTATACATATTGCGGAATTAAAATTCCCAGGTTATAACGAGAATACTTTTTTCCCATTTTACATCAGAAAAATTATCCATGACTGTTTTTCTATTCTTTCATATAGCATGTTGAAATTATTTGAATTATCGACAAAAAAAATCATACACTAGATTATTTGGTCACATTTTGTCCCATTTTTGAAATAATAAAAATTTTTGTTTCACATCTATTTTCTTAGTAAGTTTTTCAATTTTATTTTAGCAATGTGAACCATTAAGTATAGCTAATTATTCATATTGTTGTTCTTTAGAAATAAATACCAAGACTAATTTTATATATAAAATTTTAAAATTCTACATTCTAGAAAACATTCTCTTGTCACGTAGGAAAGGTTATATTATTTTTAAGTGTGTTTTTCTATTATTATGTAAAATTAAAAATTATTATTCACTATTATTTATTTACGTGCCTCACACTGTAAAAAAATTTCACTCTTCTGATCATTATGAAATACCTTTTGATGGGCTAAAATTTTCCGCAGGTCACTCAGGTATATAAGTTATCTTAAAATAGGCATCTACGTATATAATTTAAAGAAGATTCTACAACTTTCTCAAAATATTGTAGATGTCTTATTAAATATTAACTTTATTAACTTATTTGGTTGTTAATTATAATAGTATATTTCGACTTGTAATTTTTTTGTTTATCAATATAACATGGAATCTTACGTTTTTCGAGTAATTAAAGCGTAAATTTTAATAAATAGCTCAAAATTGTACATAATGATTCGAAAAAAATTTTCGGATTCTAGTTTTTTTCGTTTCTTTGCATTTCCTGAGAAAACTTACCATAGTAATGTATATATTTTTTTACACCATCAGAAAGTAGAGATTTCAGCGAAGAAAAAGCCCACCGACGTTTTTAAAAAAGCAGATATTTTGACGTGAGAATTTTCGATTGAAAATTAGGGTGCTTTTTCGATATTAAGTAAAAATAAGGTGAAAAAATAAATATTTCAAATCAAAAAAATTACAGCGTGTTTGGGACATAAATAGGTAAGTTTTCACCAAATTTCGTGAATTTTTTTTTTTTAAATTTTGAGGTTATGTGAAAAAAGTGAAAATACAAAAGTTGTAGATCTTTTTATTACCTACAACTTTGCCATTTAACTTTTTTCCATAAGACTTGTAGTTTTTCCGGAAATCAAGGGAAACCGTTTTTTACCCTTAAAAACTCACCTCCTTCCCCTTCCCGAACTCAGATCGCCCGTAAATTATTTTTCCTTTCATTTCTGTTATATTCCCTTTCTTTTCCAATGGGTTTCATCCTACTATAATTTTTTTTTATTTCAAAAATTATCGACCCTGGTCTATTGATGTGTGGGAGACATTTCCGATGTGATGAGTGAATGAAAATATTTTCGTTGAAATATCTGTACAGTAGAAAGTCGTGGACTGAACTGAAGTATGAAGTTATTGTCGCTAACCGTTCGGTAGAATTATATTGGAAAGCTGATTAAAAATGTGCAAACTTTCATTATTAATCCAAAAGTTACGAAAAGTTGATAAAAAAATGATATACATGATTTTTCTCAGTGGTTCAAGTACATTAAGTAAGCTGCATGAAGTAATAGAAAAAATATACAAAGTAAACTTTTTTGGAGGGGCCATAAAAGAACAGGAATTTTCCCACTACGGTTATAGGATTTTGGAATATTATTATATGAAGATAACATTTTGAGAGAAAATAAGTAGCCATAATTGAACTAATCTATTTTAATATCTTAATTTTTTTACAAAAGAAATATAAATCTATCTGTAAGGTACAATCTTGTCTAAATCACAAGTCATAAAGAAATAAAAAAAATATACAATACGCGGGCAAACCTTGAGTATCCTTTATTCCTTATCTGACTTAACTTACTAAAATATGAATTCAAACAAATGATAATAGAAAATCTCACTTAAGTCTGCTAAATGAATGTATCCTAATCTGGTGGAGAAGGAAAGAATAAGTTCGTTATATTACAAAATACAAATATTACAAAAAGTACTTAAGGCTTTTGCTACATTATAAAATATCACATTGTCTGACAATTTATTTGTCTGAAATCCATGCTTCGAAATAACAACCTATCTAAGCTTTGCACCTGATCAAAATCTCACTCTTCTTCTATAACTTAAAACTTTGTCACTTCTCTATCTGGGGAGGCCAGCACTTTCTGTTTCCGTTTGGGGTTCTCTTCACTGTGCGAAAGCCCATAGAAGAAGTATATCAAGAAACCTGCAATAAGTAAATTTTTCAGTTAGAACTGTCTCCTCTATATCCTTATACATATTATTATAAATTTTAATTGAAATCGTCCGTCGCCGGTATTTAGTATTTTATTCCATAAGCGCTGGAGCAGACACTTTTTTTATAGTCCCTGAGAAATATGTAATAAAGATAACTCAAAAAAAAAATAAAGTAATATAATTTGAATAGCATGTGTTAAAATATAGGATTTGCCGGATTTGTGTTCGTACAACTTACCGATTATTAACCATACTATGAACCGTATCCAAGTGTAAACATCTAACTCTAGCATGAGATACAAGTTGAACACAACGCTTAGGCAAGGGATAATTGGCACTAGAGGTACCTGAAAAAATTAAAACCAGTGTAAAGAATTATAATTACCTACTTTTTAAAATTTGACGCAAAAATTAAACAGTAGATAATACTCTCTCCTATTTCTAATCAAGGAAATTGAATAAAAATAATTAAGATATTTTTTATAATATGAAAAATATTTTGACTTTCAACGTTGTATAGATTGACTTAAATTTGATCGTCACAATATCACGAAATTGGGGATAGAATCGTAAGGGGATAGAATATTATGTGAATAATCCTGCACAAATTTTCAAAAAAATACCTTAAAAGACAGCTTGACATCCGACACTGGCTGTCTAATCATCACCACCAGTAGCACCACCATGGCTACAAGTGATATTATAAAACCTGCTAAATAGAATGGCTCAGTGAATATTGCAAGTTGACAGTAAATAACAAATGCGCAAAATATGGCAGTGAAGACACCTAAAAATTAAAGTTGTGTTAAAAACCGTTACAGTCTCGTTACTTATAAAGTTTGAACTTACTAAACAACGTTATACTCCAATTTACAATGTGAGAGGTGGTTGAATTAGGGTATTTGTTGTTGTTTAAATTGAAAATATTTTTGAAGATTTCATACAGAGTCTGTTCCACCGTTTTCTCTGCTTCCTTCTGCTGCAAACCTGGGTATTCTGAATTCTCATCAACTTGATACCTAAAGGAGGATATTTTTTAACAAAAATAGTGTTTTATTTATATTTTGCTTACCTCAAGATGAGAACACAGACAGATACAATGGTATAAGCCAGAAGGGTTCCGATAGACATCATGTCTATTAATTGGTCTAAATCAAACAGTGCGGCCATGATACCTGCAATGGGAATGTATTTTTTACTTAATTATTGGTTTATGTTTAAAGAAATCTCAAAATTACTTCTACAGAGTATAGCAAATACATTGCGATAAATTTGATCAAATTTCCAGTAAAATGGCGCTTTGCATCTGAAATTGGACTGATTCTAGAGAAATTACGAATTTAAAAGAAACAAAAACTGACTGCTCACGAATTTATTAAATGCTACTAACAATTTTCATAAAACTACTACTAAGTAATTGTTTAAAAAATAACGAATTTTAATTTCGATGTTCTTCAATGATTGTGATAAAACAAATTTTGACAGTAATATTTAAAGAATAAGATATATTCTATGGTAGTCTATGGGTAGTCTATGGTATTCTATGGCAGTCTATGGTATTCTATGGTAGAATAACTCTCAGAGCCTTTTCTCGTCAAGACAAATAGAAGCAACTCCTAAGGGACTTCAAATCCAGTTCCTAATAGACTTCAAATTCAGTTCCCTCATCATATTACAAGTAAAATTTGATTAAAAACTAACCAGTGGTGTCGAAATTAGAGGGGACAGAAGGATCTCAACTGTAAAAAACAGGCATTTGACGTAAAAGAAATCTTGTTTTACAGATTTAGACACAAGAAAGATTCTCATTAAAGGTAAATAACTTCTTTTGACGCTTTGAAAACCTTCATATCCCTCTAATTCCGATAACGCGGATTAGTTTTTGTTCAAATATTACATGAATGTAGCTACTTTATCAAAATTGTCTACATACGTTTGTTGAGTAATTGATTAAAAACCGTTTCATTTCCAATCTTTTAAGTATCATATGGCCCTTTTACGAAAAAATATTAATGGCGTTGTAATTTTTGCATGATTAGTTTCCTGCTATAGCTTGGAGTAAAGATCATAAGAAGTTACTTTTTTCTTCAAACTACTTCAGTCCTACCTGACAACAGTCCGGATACAATTGTGGCCAATAGAGGAGTTTTCGTCCAAGCGTTGACCTTGGATAAAGGTTTGAAAATGATGCCGTCGCTGGACATGGCGTAGATGACTCTGGGCAGGGGAAACATGGCACCAAGCATGCTGGTGCAGAGAGCGAAAACGGCGCCGATGGTCACCACCCATTTGATGGCGATCCACCCGATTTGGTCGAAGACATACGGGAATGGGGCGTCTGAGTCCTAAAAAAAACAATACTGGTTATCGTAATGTAGATTTGGAAGATGCATCAATAATTATTTCAATTTGTCCTACACAGAAAAAAATAAAGTCTAAATGTCTTTAAGAGAGAATAAAATAAAAAATATGTTTAAGATGTTTCATTGGTGCATGTAATTTCTCAGTTCCTAGTACTTTAATACCATCTTGAATAACACCAACATATTTGTCCTACCACAAAATGAAAGGACCACTCGTTTAGTTTTTAATTTTCTGGTAAAATGATTGTAGATATGTGAGTGTGTTACCTGCAGATAATAAGGCCACATCATGGTCAGGACTGTGGATATGGCAAAGTAGGCCCCGAAGATGATGGCTAGGGATATGACTATGGCCAGCGGAATGTCTCTTTGGGGGTTCTTGGCTTCTTCTCCGGTGGTAGCTACCGCGTCGAATCCGACAAAACCATAGAAACATTTGGCTGCACCAGCCATAATACCAGCATAACCAAAGGGAAGAAATCCTCCTTTGCCGGCGTCGTTTTGGTATTCGGGTTCGATGTCCGACACTGAGATTTTCCAATTGGCCACATCAGCTGGAGAAAAAAAACGAAATGATGGCGTTTCTTCGATCATCTGTAGCAACTATTTCGTCTTTTCCTTTTCTTCGGGTACCGAGGTATGTACATCAAAAGTATTCTACGTTCTAATATACAGGGTGGTTCATTAATTCAAAGTTTAGGCCTATTCACATAACATTCTATTCTCTACATTTATTTCACTTGAAATTGTGCGGACCAAAGTTTTAGAAAATTTTTCTTACGATTCCAAAGCAATACTTAGAAAAACAACTGAATGTTGCATTTTGGGAACACAAGTCAAACCTAAATATTTTTTGATGAACACCTTGTATATATTTGGGTGTAATGGTGTCTGTACGTGAACTTGGAATTACAGTGATAAAGTTACATAAGTTTATCCATAACAATAAGTGATACACGGCCAAAAGAATGTACTATAAGTTCAATGCATTAGAAGCGATGCACTTTTGTCCATATCTTCTCTATTTGAGATAGATCTATAAAACTTTTTATCATTATAATCCCAAGAAAGCGATCTATTCAAATTTGTAAGATTGTAAGGGCTACCTTATTTAAATAAAACACAGGTTTAGTAGACATATCCGAATTTTTTTCTAGCCTCAAAAATAAAAAAGATAAAGAGTGTAGAATAATCTGCACGATGGCTCTGTTAACATTCAGTATGTAAATAAAATTCAAATTTGGGTTGGATAATGTCAAAAATATATTTTAAAATTATTCTCAAATATACAGGGTGACGTATGAAGGTATGGCGATGAATTAATTTTTTTAAATAGCACATTTGAATAATTCACCATTATTAACAAGATTGTAAAAATAAAATCTTCACAGCGAACAGATTGAACGACAGGTGTTGACTTTTTTAAAGAATGCAATATTTACGGAGATAGCACTCCCTTCTGTTTTGCTTAAAATTAAAAAAAATGAGAGCTTTTGAGACAAATGACCTTCACAGTACTATAATAATAATATCTCTACTCCTCATTCTAACCACGATAATTAGCCCAGAAGTCGGAGACTTGTGCGGGAGAGGAGGCGGCATATTATTATTAAGCAGGCCGCATTTGCGCCCAGGAACGACTTATGTTGGAAGGCTCTAACCACCATTCAGTGCAGGAATGAGGGAAACCTGGAAAACCTCATTAATTAGGGGGGCGGTCAAATGCCAACTAGTGTCAATCTCTCACATTGACCCAAGCCAACATTCTTCCACCCTACCTGCACAGAGGGTGCAAATCCTCCGTACAAGCATAGCTAATCTACGGTCTACCGGCCGCGGGATTCGAAACCCGGGCAGATAGCACATCGATTTAAGTATTGACGCCTTAAACAGTGCGGCTATCGTACTAAAGACAATAATTCGACTTATCGTCAGTAAAAATTTGAAATTTTTTTATCAATTAACAAAAAAATTACGATGAATTAAAGTGAGAGGTATTTAACACACAATAGAGTAATAGTGAGGTTATATATGATCCAAATTTCAATTTTTTTTTGCCCCTACGGTTTCTTAATATCGGTTTCCAAACTCAAGGGTCTATTTCATTTATTTCTATAGTAGGCTTATTGCAAAATTGTATTCAATAATTACGTTAATTAATTACGGACAACATAACGGGTTTTATTTTTTTACTCAAAATAAACGGCGCATCGCTGAACAAAACTCAAGAAAGCTCTTATATTTCGAATTTTATTTGGGAAAAAAACCATTGGCGAAGCATTTTTTTCTTTAAAAATATCAAAGTCAGTGCTCGTACGCACGCCACTATTAGAGCTAAAAATTATGTTTGTATTGAAAAACATGCGCCTTTATTAATTATTACTACGTACTAAATATCAATGAAATATCTTAAGCGATTTCGAAAATATTAATTAATTTCCCTATTTTTCCTAAAATTGTAACACTCCGTATTTTCGCAACATAACATTCTTGGACCATAGTTTATAAAGCAAACTATCATTAATTTTCTATGTAGAATCACACCCTTAAATATTCGCATATCATTAAGGAACACCATGTATATTTCTTCGTAGAATTTTGCATGTATTGCTGTATATAGTTCAGGGGATAATCTAAGGAATTTTAAGAACTACCCGAAATCAATCACCCTATGCTAGCTCAAAGAAAGCGCCCGAAAAATTCGATTTGTGCAAATACTTGTTGTTCCCAATACAAAAGCCCAATGCACTCCCCTCCCCACCCCCAAAAAAAAGATGCAGTACTTTTTAATTGCCGGACATTAAACTCTAAATCCAAAAGCCTCAGTAAAAGCAAGTGCTGTGGTTTATAAACAATATAGAAGAAACCTTACCACTATGTATTCGCTTTTCCTGGGGTTTTTGAGTTTTGGATTTCTTGTTTATATTGTTAAAAAAGGCTTTTCAAATTTCGCCTATATGATGTTAGAGCGACTCATGTTGACCCTACACTATTATCAATTAGAGTTTGCATATTGCATGTGTGTTAAAAATATATATCAATTTTTTTAAAGAAATATTTATTATAATAAATGGGTTACGTAAAAAAAATCAAACCATAAATAATTATGTACATTCTACCGAAAGATTTTGAAAAAATATTAGACATGCATTTTTTTATACAAACAAATAAGAATGGAGGTATACTTCTAATAATCAAATTTTGCAACTACCCTTTTTAACTTTTAGAACTAACTTTTTTTTAAGAACTGCCTTTTCGGTTAGAACTAACCCTTAGATTATGCGCTGATATAGTTTTGTTTCGACGCTATAAAATTATGTAATGGGTTAGGCAATGTTATATCCGTTTATTTCAAATTTAAAAGTTCACATGAAATTAATCTCTAGACATTCCAGTTGAAATTAATGAAAATTCACAAAAATCGAATATAACGAAACAACCAAAAACACAATATGATAGACGATAGAGCAATAAGTCCCCTTTCGAATGAGGTGCCAATTTCACAATGAGTTTAATATTCAAGTGAATTTTAAATTTGAAAAATAAAGACATTACTTATTTCCCAATCAATAGAAAGCAAATTTTAGGTAAAATAAAATGTTAAAATGTTTGACAATTCTGAAATGGTAATAGTTATATGGAAACCAAATATTTGACAGTGTGAAAGACAAAGGTTACCCGACCACTCCAGATTTGTGAAACATTCATTATTTTGTAGAGAGTGTTTTACATAGACGTGCTAACTTTTCGAATTTCGACCGACATATTCTACGATATTCAAATGGAACACCCAGTATTTAAATGATTAATTTTGCATACATTTTTGTGTCCTTGATCTTATATTAAGGTTTCTATATATTTTTGTTAATTCTGGAGATATGTATTTTTCACTTTTTTTTATTAAAAATAGGCAAAAAAGCATTACTATACCTTTTTACCATTGGCTGATTAATTGTCGTTTAAATGACATCCAGTTTTATGGCCTAATTTAATCTACATATTTGAATTAATAATTGTAATACGTTGTTCAAAACAAATATAGAACTACAACAATTACATATCAATCTTTTTAATTTATTCTGAGCTGCAAATTGTTTTAAAAGTTATGAAAATTAAAGTTAAGTAAAAAATTCCACAGCAGTGATAAAACCATATTTACAGTACAAACTGAAATATAAACTTTACAAATTTTAACCTGTGTAAAAAATTGTTCTGCGTTACAAATTGATGGAAATTGCGATATAGGAGATTTAAGTGATGCTGATTAATTATATGTAGCCAAATTTAAAAAAATAAATAAATCCGTAAATTAATTTTACTTATAAACCAAAAAAATCGAATAAGGCTATAGATTATCAGTTTGATCATCGTAATTAGTTCAACAAATACATCTAGAAGCACATTATTTATAAAAAAATCATTCGAATCGTGCGTCGCAAAAAATTAACTGGGATGTCCTGGTTCTTGGTGAGCCACATTGTATATATGCCTTCATACAGCACGTTGTACATTTGAAAATACTATCAATATATTTTTTAACTAGTTTCAATTTGTATTTCAATTTTTTTTGTAATGGGCTACCGGGTTACCCTATAATATGTTCTTCTTTCTTCATACACATACCTTTGATAGATCCAGCGACAATCACTATAACTATGGTAATCAAATTTAACGCCGTGAAGACGTTGTTTAGCGATGATGACTCCCTTACACCAAAGGAAAGGAGAGCTGAAAGTAAATAAAAAAATAAACAAATCAGTATAAGAATTTAAATAGATTGATTGATTTGTTAAGGTATTAAGATTATAGTTAATCTTTCAGTGTATGATTGATTCGTTACTTGAATATGTATAAGAAAATCACTGGGATTGCAGTACTTATGGGGAAGATATATGGTGACAGCTTAAAGAAAGTATTAGGTGTAATTTTGCAAGTACGAGGTCTGTTCAGAAAATAACCGAACTTTCTGAATTACGCGGTAATGGATATAATTAGTGATATGCGGTTGGCAGCATTGCGTTGCTCATAACCTCTTCTGTAACACATGTTCTTGAATTGTTGATATCTTATTTAGTTTTCGTGATATCGTTATTTGAGTGCAACGTGTTTAAGTGTTAGTGACGATTTTTGAAATGTGCGACTTTCTGGAACAACGATGCAATGTAAAATTTTGCGTGAAGGCCTTCGACTTCAACTAATGGATCCCATAATCGGAAAGTCAAGATCTGGTGTGAATAAATCGCCGATTGAATGTCAGAGAAATCGCAGAAGAGGATAGCATTTCTGTTGGGTCATGCCATGAAATTTTGACTGAAGCTTGAGATCGATAACCTATAAATCTAAAACCCATAACCTGAAAATCTATAACTTCAAAACTCATAAATCTCAAATCCCAATAAACTGCAAACACAAAATGAGCAAAAATAAAAACAAAAAACTTACAAACTGAACTCAAACCTCAATCTCGGAGAGTTTTAACTTCATAATGCTACACCTCCATCACTTCATAACCTCATAATCTATAAACTCCATAACCCTGAAGTGTAACATAGCGGAACAACTCCGTTGCCCACCGTCACCGCGTGGAGGTGCCCTGAATGCTGGCACACGGCAAAACTGTCACTCAGAACTCAAGTCTTAGGTGCAAGTACATTTACTATTGTATTTTAGGACTGTAGGGTCATGAGGTTATAGGGTTACAAGTTTAAAGGTGATGGAGTTATAGAGATGTGGTATCTTGAAGTTTTAACTGTCCACCTCAAAGTATTTTTAGTCACATTTAAGAGTTGTAGGGTTACGGGATTTTGAGGTTATAGGGTTATGAGGTGTTGGATTACTGGGGTTACATGCTGTTGGGGTTATAGATTTATGGGACTTCAGGGTTATGGGACTTCAGAGTTATGGAGTTTATGGTTATGAAGTGATGGATGTATATAATTATAAAGTTAATACTTAAACTCCAATATTAAGATTTCAGTTTTGCGTGTAAGTTTTTTGTTTTTTTTTGCTCATTTTGTGTTTGCAGTTAATTGGGATTTGAGATTTATGAGTTTTGAAGTTATAGATTTTCAGGTTATGGGTTTTAGAGTTATAGGTTATCGATCTGAAGGTTATTGAGTTATGAAAGGGTTATATGGTTTAAGGCTTGATATTGTTGGGTTTCATAGTTTCAAGCTGTTTTTTGAGGTTAGAAAAAAACGCCTGACGTGATGGGGCAAAACAGGTTTCGGATTCGGTTTCAGCGACCCAAAAAAATATATAATTCACTTGGTCTGGTTCAAGGAACCCTCCTCTCATTTTTTTTTGTGGTCCTGTGTTATTTTTTAGTCGAAACTCCAAACTTGCAGTACACTGTGCTCTCTTTTTAAGTTAAAATGTTTGAAAAGTTGGAATGAACGGTTGAACGTATTTTTGACTTAATTGAAGCTTACAGAAGAGAGGAATTATTATGGAATCCTTCGAATAAATTGTATCATAACAATGTTAAAAAAGATGCTTCCACTAATGCGGCACAAACTTCTGGAATTTAAAATCCGAACAGGACATTCTACAAAAATTATTGAGCTGTCCTAAATACTTGTCAAGTCCGTTAAAAGGTCCAATGCCCTATATCGATCTCGACTTTGGTAAATCTTTCACATCCAATATTTTTGTTTTCTCTTCTATTTCTTATTTGTTTTAAGTAATCCCGGAATAATTATGCAATAAGATGCCGCGATAATTTCTTCAAACATTTGTGAAGTAAAAACAAGACGAAGCAAATGCCAAGCGAACTTTAAAAATAACGATAATTCGTTTCGAGTTCGTTCATATGACAGAACCGATAAACTGCGACCGAACGAACCCAGAACTTCGTTGTTCGGAGTTCGTGGTTCTTTCGGCCTTCGTTCGCTCACTGAGTACGCACCTAAAGGATCTCCACGAGGAAACACGACAGTCTCGATCCAGTGTCAAAGTGATGCTCACTGTTTTTGTGACTTTAATGGAATTATGCATTTTGAATTTTTGCCTCCAGGTGAAACAGTGAACCGCCTGTACTATCAAGGCGTTTTACAACGGTTACGTGAAAAAATCTGCAGAAGAGATCAGATACCTCCTTACTCGCCAGACCTGGCTCATTGCGATTTTTTCTTATTTCCAAAATTAAAATTAGTGCTGTAAGGACGCCGTTTTCAGACTATTAATGAAATCAAAGCAAATTCGTCACAGACTTTCAAGGCCATTTCAAATGAAGCTATACATGACTGCTTCGCGAAATGGAATCGTCGCTGGAAAAAGTGTGGTGTGAATAGGGGAGGGGAGTACTTTAAAGAAGACAAGGATCAATAATGTATAAAATTAATAATAAAGTTAGGTTATTTTTTGAACAAACCCCGTATTTACACAGACATGTATTATGACTTATGACTTGCTGTTTGTCAATTAATATTTTACAATCTGATAAAACATAGGAACATTAATTTTATCTCCGCTTGTAACAGATGTCGGGTCGCACATGTTTTTAAAATTTGCTAATGCATATTTATCTCAATTTTTTAACTTTGATTACCTACAATTTCAATTTCTGCAATCGATAACTTTATAAATAAATAATAAGATAAGTCTTATGTACGAATAAAAATGTAAGGAAGGTGAGAAGCGTATTATGTAGATTAGATTAGGTGGTATTCATTCCATATGAAGTACCTGTAGATAAAAGGAATTAACGTATCTTTAGAAAAGAAAGGAAAATGAAGGTCTCATTAAAAGTCAAGTACTTTTATTATGAGATGTAATTAAGGTGTGACTTTTAAAATTATTACTGTTTTCCATGTTTGATAACAAAGAACGCGAACATATTATTTTTACTTTTGATGTCGAACAAAAATTAATATGGTCAAATTATTTTAGAATAATCTTTAAGAGCTACATTTACCTAAACAATAATACTATCTAACATTAACTAATATAATAAAACCTAAATACACATTTATTTTTAGACTATATTAACTCCTGACATTTTATCAATTTATTTGCCTGTAAAAATCGAGATACTGTTTACGAATAAGTAATAACCAGTAAAATCTGGTAACTTTCAGTGATTTATAAAACTGTGACTCAATTAGGTAACTGGAAACGACTACATATTTCAAACAAAAAATAACCAGTTCGACATAATAAAACGAGAAATGCATTTCCAATCACAACATGTACAGAATCGACAAAAAATATTTATAATGAAAAAATTCGCGATTTTCCATTATCAATCTTGACTGTATCTCTACTTTAAATATAAAAATAAATGTTTAATTATCAGTTAATTCAATTACACGGTAAGTGCTAACAGGAAAGTCAAACGTAATCTAAAAAAATCCTTGAACATTTTGCGTCGATAATAACCTATGTATTCTACAACAGACTACAGTTTCTCCAGTCGAATTAGGTCATAAAACCTGAAAACTCGAAAAAAAAATATTAGTAGACATTTATTGCACTATATGACGGGGAAGGAAAAAGTAACTCGAAAGAAATGAGGCTAAGTTTGAACTGAATTTGAAACGTTCCAGTCAAAAATCTCGCGCGGCGAGGGCAACGTTAACGCGCGTGCGCGGCCTCGGCGCTCCTTCTCCCGCGTGCAGCCGTTCCTTAACGTTTACTTTTATTGCTGCTAGCGCGTTTATTACATAAACTATGAAAGTAAAATCTAGTCTCTAAAATCCCGGTCCGATACGTCCAATAGTTAATTAACAATTAACGTTATTTACCTATGTAAAAGAGTTATCTTGAGATCAAAGAAGCGTAGGTATTTATTTTAAAAATTACCGTAGAAATAAGCTCTATTTAATGCAAAAAGAGCGAATTCCAGAGCAGCTTTTGCCTTACCCTGGAACAATTTGTTTGTAACGCTGTTTTGCACGTCCTACTTTGTTAGTTATAAAGGGCTACTTAATTTCAACACATGTTGGTCATTGGAATGGCCGTCTTTTCCATAAATTTCATCAATATCCATCGCTTTTTGTAAAAATAATGCGCAATTTTCGTAAACTGATATTTCCGCGTTCGACCTATATTTTACAGTTAACAAATTAGTGAAAAATTACATTAAATTGTAGGTTATTTAATTGCTGACAACATAAAATAACTAATATTCCGATAGGTGGACTAGATTTTCGTAGGCAGTAGAAAAAAGTGAAAAAACACGTAATTTTGATTAAATTTGCCATTTGACAAATTAGCGTCACTTCTTTCGAGTTATTTTTTTGGTATTATCATTCCCCGTCATAAAGTGAAATAAAATGTCTATTAATAATTATTTTAAGTTTTCAGGTTCTATGATCTAATTCGACTGGAGCAGTTTTTCTATCAAAAAATGCTAGCTACCTGTTAACAGCAAGACCATTCCAAAGGAAAATAAATCTGGATAAGGGGACAGGAAGCTGACGTCCATCGGCATCCATTTTGTCAATGTGTCCCTTATTTGTTTATCTGCTAATGCGTCCACATAATTGCTCAGGCCCCGAGCCACGCTAGCGGTTCCTGAAATAAAACAATAATAATAATAATAACAATAACACAGGTCAACATTTGATCTAAGAATAATCACCGGACCTGACCAGGGTACTTATACGTTTTTTGGATCGCTGATTCCGAATCCGAAGTTGGCTAAGCTCCATCACGTCAGGTTCAAGGTCATTTGAAGGTCAAATGGCCAAAAATGGCCTAAAAAACCTGAATAAATTCATACGTATGTTTTTGGGGTAGCCGAGTTCAAAGCCGTTGCTATTTTTACCATTCAAAGACATCTAAAGGTCGTATCAAGGTCATTTGCAAGTAAAATCGAGAAATATGGTCTAAAAAATTCGAGAAAATTTATACGTATGTTTTTGGAGTAGCTGAGTTAAAATCCGCTGTCAGTTTCACCCCTGAAGGACATCTGAAGGTCATATGAAGGTCATATCAAGGTCATTTGAGGGTCAAATCGAGAAAATCGGTCTAAAAAATCTGAAAAAATTTATACATATGTTTTTGGGCTAGCCGAGTTCAAAGCCGCTGTTATTTCCACAATTTAAGTACATCTAAAGGTCGTATCAAGGTCATGTCTAGGTCATTGGTGGGTCAAATCGAGAAAATTGGTCCAAAAATCTGAAAAAATGTATACGTATGTATACGATTTCTGACCGAATAAGGCGAAAACATAAAGGAAGCTAGCCAGTTAAGGCAATTTTCCGGTCAGTTAGGTAGAAATATAAACGTGTCCAGCCAGTTAAGGCAAGACGAGTGAATGTTCCGACCAGTTAAGGCAGAAAAAAGAGTGTCAAGCCACTTAAGGTAAGACGATTGAATGTCCCGGCCAGTTAAGGCAAGAACATAAGCGCGTCCAGACAATTAAGTCAAGACGACTGAATGTCCCGGCCAGTTAAGGCAAGAACAGTAACGTGTCCAGCCATTAAGGTGAGACTTTCACACCATTTACACCTTACTGTTTTTAAAATTGTTTTCAATAAATGAATCTCCTTGTTTAGGATACAAATTAATCGTCAGCTTTGAATCGTTTACGTTTAGTTTCAAACGATCTTCTAATTGATTTTCTTTTATGTTCTACGTTTGTGTCTCTTTTTAAACACCAGCAATAGTCGGCCAACATATTCTTTCCCCAAACACCCTGATATCTTTTTTCAAAGTCACTCAGGTCCTGATGCATTCTTTCACCTTGTTCGTCACTGAATGCCCCTAGATTTTCTGGAAAGAAGTCAAGATGAGAATCAAGAAAGTGGAGTTTAAGGTTCATTAAACATCCTAATTTTTGGAAATTGTTTAGTCGGGGTCTTTATTATTGCCTAAAAACTTTTTCGTGACTTCCCTAAAACTTCTCCAAGCTCCTTTCTCTTTATCATTCATTGATATGACTTTCATATGACCGTCATATGTCCTTCAGGGGTGAAACTGACAGCGGATTTTAACTGAGCTACTCCAAAAACATACGTATAAATTTTCTCATATATTTTAGACTATATTGCTCGATTTGACCTCCAAATGACCTTCATACGACCTTGAGATGTCTTTGAATGGTAAAAATAGCAGCGGCTTTGAACTCGGCTACCCCAAAAACATACGTATGAATTTTTTCAGATTTATTATACCATATTTCTCGATTTGACCTCCAAATGACCTTGATACGACCTTTAGATGTCTTTGAATGGTTAAAATAGCAGCGGCTTTGAACTCGGCTACCCCAAAAATATACGTATTAATTGTTTTAGTTTTTGGTCATTTGACCTTCAAATGACCTTGAACCTGACGTGATGGAGCTTAGCCAATCTCGGATTCGGAATCAACGATCCAAAAAACCTATCAGTACCCTGGTCAGGTCCGGTGATTATTCTTAGATCAAATGTTGACCTGTGTAATTAGCGCAAAAAAATATAAACTGTACAAAAAATTAATTTTTGTTTTGATATTGCAACTTCATCGTCATCAGGTAAAAGGTAGAATGTTTGTTGTTCTCGGTGTGCATTGTGCATTCGTTTGTTTGGGGAATACCTGCGAACTTTAATATTACAGGTTTTTATTGCAGCCTCTGAGAGCTAGTATGGTATGAATACAATGTATGTACATGTCATGTTATAGTCAATGAAACCAGTGGTGTATCATCTTACAAGGCGAAAACAAAAGCCTTCTACGACAAACGTCGTTATTCAAAAGACCAGGGCCGGCTCGCTGATCAATTTACCTACTGGATGAAATTATGATAGAATATTTCTGGATTTTACCGTTTTAAATAGTGTATCAAAAAATCAAAACTTTACCTATAACGTATTCCAGAATCAAATTCCACCCGATGATAAAGGCGATAAATTCCCCAACGCTAACGTAACTATAAACGTATGCCGAACCAGCTCTGGGTACCCGGGCAGCGAATTCAGCGTAGCACAAACCTGAAAAAAAAGAGTAGTTTAATCTTATAGTCAGCATTGACGTGGGATAAGCTTTCTCTGTATTTTTTTCTAATGTAATAATGTAGGTATTTCCCAAAACACCACACAAATATTTTATTTATTTACTTGTAAAGAATAATAATTTACTTTCTCCTCCCCACACAAATTAATGGGAGCTACTAAGAATGGAAGACGGAAATATTATTTTTATCGTTACTAATGTACTGAAAGCTTAGGCATTTCAAGGAAATAATTTTACATACGTTTACGATGTAAACGAATTTAATCGTTTTACAAAATAAATATGCTTTATTTTTTCTTTGGAATTTTGAAGCGTTGTTATTTTGTCTGCAACAACGGCGCACTCTTGTCAACATGCCGGTGACGGAAAACACTTCTAAAGTCTAAAACAGAGCTGCGTAGATAAGATAATGATTTCCTGGCGAGTTCTAAATCTTGATAATTTTAAATACAATACAATGTAACGAATTATCATTAATGCCAAGTAAAATAATTAACGATTTGTTGGGAATTTAACATTTAATTTAGATACAGGAAAATAAAAAATAATAAAAAAAGATTCTATAAGCGTAAGCAAATGCTTGCGTTCGAGATTCAGGGTAGTAGTTAATATTTTTTTTAGATTTTCTCATTTCTTTCTCACACTTGGTATACACTATACTTTTTTAATACGACGATAATATACAGGGTGATACCTTTGACTATATTCACTATATAGTCAAAGGTGATACTAACTGGTCAATAATAATAAGACAAATGAGAATAATTGAAAAAACTGAACTGAAAAAAAACATATAAAACCTCATCACACTGTATCTCAAAAACGAAGCGTTAGCGGATGTACGAGTATGTTCATATGGACCTATAAACTGTCTTCAAAATAAGTTATAAGCAGAGTATGAATTTAAATGCTTTTCTTTAAAAGGCAACTCAGTTTTATTAACGTTTAATTTCGTCATTTACATTTATTGTGTCACGGCCAACTGTACGATTTGCTCGATTAAAATTATATTATTGTCACAGATTTCGTGGGTGGATTAGAAATCTATAAAAACAATAAATATTGACAACTAAAGTTATTGTAGATACAAAAAATGGTCGGATAACGTTACAAAATGCTGGAATTCCAAAAATTCCTGGATATTCCTCTGTTTACCTTGTCCTAGATTCTTTACCCGTTATCTTAACGATAACAAACCAGGATATAATTCAGTCTTTGATGTAGATGTAGTATGTACAAACATAGTCTTCATTGGAGATTGCAATTTACTGAAAAACTAATACGATTTGGTTATTCAGAAGACAATTTGTTAAAGTCATAAAAGAAATGAAGAATATATTCAAAAACGGGGTTATATACAGCGGGTCTCTGGATAAGAGCCATGAATGCGAATCCGTAAAATGCAGTAAATCTCGGAAATTAAAAAAAAACATCAATTCAATTGTGCCATTTCTCTAGAGGGTGCCACAAAACATTACACAGACATAAAATTGTCAAGACCTAGAGGGTAGACCCCCCTACCCCTCCGTTTTTTGGGATCGCTAAAACCGAATATGATCATAAAAAAATGTTAACTAGCCATTTCCCCGTTACTACCCCCATACACCCCCTTCTGGGAGTTGAAATGTCAATTCTCATACAAAGTCGAGCAGGGTGAGTATTCCTATGTTTTCCGGGCCACTAAGAACGAATATGACTACCAAATGACTACCTTGAATAAGACCTCATCGTTACCCCCTAGCGTCACTTTACCACCTCCATACACCCCTTTATGGGGGTTGAAGTGTCAATTTTCGTATAAAGTCGAAGTGAGTTGTGTATGCCTTCATTTTCTGGGCTGCTGAAAACAAAGAAGACTACCGAAAATGAATTCAACCCCCTCGTCAACCCTTAGCACCCTTTACCACCCACATACACGCCCTTATGAGGGTTGGAATGGCAATTTTCATACAAAGTCAAGTAGGGTGTGATTCGGGATAACTCTTGAGACGAGTCCCCTCGTCTCTCATAGTTCAGGGTACTTTTTCAACCGTAAGTCCCCTCGCCTTTCCGAAATCGGAGTACTTTTTCAACTATAAATTCCCTCGCCTCTCACTAATAAGGGTGCTTTTTCAACCGTAAGTTCCCTCACCCCTCACAATTGTTCAACGGGTGAACCCTCTTATTTCTCACGAACTGGTAGGTTTTCACACAAACACCTTTTGGAAAGTTGAGGGGGTCTACCCTATGGGTCTTGACATTTTTTTGTGTGCATGTGATTATTAAGAAAAAATTCTTACTATCAAAAACTTAGTAAGTGTGCAAAATTTCAATAACTTATGCCTTCTTTGATTGGTTGTTAAGTGGCAGATTTTTATGTTTTTTCTATCTTACAATTAGCGAGGCTAAATTCCAGAAGGCCATTTTTCCCCACCGACATTATTTATTTCTTGTAAGAATCGTTTTACCGATCCAGAGACACACTGTTTACCTAAACGTCGTGATATAAATTCCAGTAAATTCGATATATTGGAAAAAAAAATTAATCACTAGGGAAAACTCTAATTAAGGGTTGTGCAGGGACAAGATATTTTTAAAAAAGGCTCATGAATGAAACAATACTACTATAATTATTCTAGAGAATTTTATACTGATTTTTAAAATATTTATGTCAGTAAATACATAATATACTTACGTATAGCGTGATTTATAAACAAATCTTGTTAGTCATTTGCAATTAATTTTTATTAATTAGTTTTTATTAATATACGTTTTCTTGATTTAACCATGGTATAATATATCGTGGATTTAACTTGGATTGCTGCAAGTACCTACTCAAAGTTTGTTATGTCAATTTTCATGTTTCCATGAAAAAAATTACACGCACGCCTGTGACTATTATTTATATTTTGTAAAATATCGTCACGGCGTAACTGATATGTTTCCGTTCAATTAGCTTACCTTGAGCTAGCGTACACGTTAATGGTATTGAAATTTTTCAAATAACGCGATATCTAAACAACACTGTATCCACGGACGAATACAGTGTTGATAATTCCATCCAAAACCGGAACTTTAACAACTCGTTTAACAATAAATAAACAAGGATAAAAAAGTGAAGGAAAACGCATATAAGTGTACGTACATACATTTTTGTCAGTAATAAATATTATAAATTAGATGCGTTAAGCTAATTGAAATAAATTCTATGTTTTTCAGTCGTACCAAATGAAGTCAAACAATGTTCTTCGCTACCAAGAATCTAGATACAAAAGGTATCTGACCTCATAGATTCTTAACTGATGATATTGCGGGGAACAACCTTTATGAGCTGCATGCCTCAGCTACCACTGAAATCATTCTAGTAAACAGCTATCGAAGATAAAAATTAAAAATGGTATATGGCTTGATATTATTCAAGAATACCTAAGTAAAATGTAGGAATATTAAGATTTTTCTATCGTGGAACTTTCACCATTTATTTGGATACTGGTGGTTTAAAAAGTCTCTAACAATATTACTAAAATAGGGGGTGTTCCATCATGCATAAACCAATGTTCCAGTCTGTTGTAGTGGCACCTCGTCAAGTAGATCCGGGAGAGTATTCTGGAGAAATTCTAAATAAGTTTCTACATTTAGTCGATTCGGTAAAATAACACTAATATCATGTCAACTTGTTCGCTAAATGAAAACTTCTCGGCCATTTTCAAAACACTCAGCAAATAATTGCTAAAATTAAATGACTTTTTCCTGATCGTCAGGTTTGACGTTTAAATTCATAGCCTTGAACTTTTGATTTTTCGATGATTTTAAATAACAGCTACAATACGTATTATTAGTTATCGGTGTTTTTGTTGAAAACGAGAAAGTTTTTTGAAAACTAACAAGAGTAAGAAAAGTTTTAGAATTAAAGTCCCCATAAAGTACAGTAAGAACAATTTTCGGCCAACGAGTTAACAAATTCTGTCACATTTAAATGGTGTATCAGCCCTCATCAACCCTTTAAAATGATTCAATTGAACTCTACTTGCGATTAATGCTCTTGGTACACTTACACCGTGTATCAAATTTGGTTTTTTTAAGTTCTACTTTCAAGGCCTACAACTTCTCAGGGGTACAGTATAGTATTAAGGTATGTTGCATTAAATCACCATATTTTGGTATGTGTTTTCATTTTAATAAAATTCAGACACACATTTCTACTTTTGAAAATTATTATTAACCACACATTATTAGTTTATTGCTGGTATAATTCATGAGCCGCTAAAGTGGTTGATTCCAGCTGTCGTCAGTTAACCTCTATTAACGCTTAAAATCGGACTTTTGAGGGGGTGTCTGAACCACGGGCACCATTGCAATGCACTGCAATTTTTTCCTATTTTCAATCAACATTCGATGTTTTCTTACTCTTATCGCGTGGAGGTAGACGAACTAAAGACTCCCCTTTTGTGTTTGTTTATTTTTTCGTATTTTGGCCATTTTTAACTAAATTTTGGACCATATTCGAGAGATGAACGCAATAGAAGTTGTCAGAATCGAAAGAAGGTTCAAGAGTGTTTCTCCTTTTATTCTGAGACTATCAATTTGGTTAAAATTATAAAAAAAGTCCAAAAATTCGTTGGAGACCTTCGTAAATATCTGATACCACCATTTTCCGGTTCAGCCGCCATTTTGGTTCAACAAGTGACTAAATCAATGAGCACATACAGGGTGACCCATTAAGAATGGAAACACTCGCGTACAAAAGTTGTTTATGGACCGATTTGAACCGGGTTTTTTTTTTAAAGATAGATCTCCAAAAGCTCTATCTTGATGCAAAATTTGAAGACGAAATTTTGATTTTCAAGGCCTACTACGAATTTTTTTTTAAGTGAAAAATAGCATAATTTTGTTAGCGATTTTTTTATAAAAAATCTGACTACACCACTGGATTTAGGAACCTCTCAAATGCATTTGTACCAATTTTTGCGAAAAAAAGTTTGCCCCTAAAAAAGTTATG